ACATTTTTTATTTTGGATACCTTTCATCCGGACACCCTATATTGGTGAAACTGTTTAGAAAAAAATTAATATAAGTGAAATTGATGTATGTGCCTTTTCCCCCCCTGAAGATCAGGGCCTAGTATGTGACAGAAGAGAATGTTCAGGGAGCCGCTGTGAAATTAATGCATACGATACGGAAGTGCCCATAATGAAACAAGAGTAATTGAATTCGGGGAGGAGACCCGGTAGGAATAAAGGGTCTTTAAGATAACACAACACTTGAAAGTTGAAGAATTTAAGATTAAGAGTTTTGTATTCTGAGATATAACGCCGTGTAGCCCTTTAAAAGTCAGCCCACTTTTCGGAGCATCAGGTCGTCTCAGTCTTCAGGGTCGAAGAATAAGTCAGGCAAGAAACCAGAGTGAAGCAGGCGTACCTGCATTTAACTTGTATTAAATCTACATTTTAAACTTAAGCCAATTTTCTAAATGTTATTTATATTAATCATGAAGAAATTTGTAAAAAATGTTGACTACTATGCTACTGCTACTACTACTACTACTACTACTACTACTACTACTACTACTACTACTACCTGCTCCTCATTCAAAAGATTACGAGTAACTGTAGTTACGGCTAGCGTTTAGAAGTGTTAATTTCGTTAACTGTAAAAAAAAAAAGGTAAGACAAAATTTCCTCTACTGGATCCATTCATACTCATATTTCTATGTTCTAGCAAATCCTGCGTTGGTAATTTGATTGTACTTGGTCTGCTGTGCACTATCTAATAGCATATATATCTGTATAACGAAATTTGTTTGTTTCAAGCAACATATGTAAATATTCAGAGCAGAAGTCATCGCCGGCAAGTTCAGCCAACGTGTATTCATCGAAGGCGTTGCTTTAGACGCGCATTCCTCGCGTTGGGTATGGGTTAACCAAATTTCGTAAAATTATTCCATTGTTCAAATGCTTTTAGACGAGATAAATATCTTATTGGAGAAATAAGCTACCAAGAACGAATTAACGTTTTATCGATCGATTATTTAGGAATTTAGAGACGAACTCATAATATCCACACAATAAATATGCTTGTCGAAATAAGTCATTTCATTCCATCAGTTTCGTTTGTTTTAAGTCCATCGGACGACGAAAAGGTTCTTTAGCGTTTAGTACAACATTATTCCTCATGAAGAAAGCAGTCTTCTGGGATTTGGCACCGTGTATATGTGGTGTTAACCGACGTTTCGGAGGAACGTATCGCCTCCATCTTCAGACAGTCTGCTTTTACCGGTTCGCACGGTCTCTTCGCTTGCAGAATTCTTATATTTTTTCTTCTACCCTTAAGATGGAGGCGATACGGTACCAAATCCCAGAAGACTGCTTTCTTCATAGTCACCGCCGTGAAAGCATCAAATCTTACATTGTTCCTGATGTACCTACGTTTTGGGGGAACCTGTAACGTAGATGCATAAATACTAGTTTACAGGGTGTTGCATCCTAGAAGACTGTAATTCACAGTCACCGCTGTCAGAACCTCGAATTTCACATATATTTCTTGGCATGCTGTTTTCTTGTGACCTTGTACATGACAGTTGCCACCTGTGCATTATACTTCACGCTTCACTTACATCTTTAAAACACTTCGTTGCCTTCTCACCGCCTGCTAAATAGTACCGTGTTTATATCAAGTTTTCCTGCCTACTCTGGCCTTGACCTCCTCAATATTCCTTCATAACAGAAGTGCATAGATGGTAGCTGAGTGCGGGAAGGGAGGGGAAGGTGTTCTACATTGCCAACCTCCAGCGGAGAGGCTGTGTGTATGTCACACGATCAATATAGCAGGTGCATCTAACCGGGCGACGTGACCCGAAACGAGAGGTCAAATCGGGTCATAAAATAACATAAATGCTATACTGAATGGTACAGTACCGCTAAAATATATTATGAAATATTCGGCTTCGCATCTGCAAGTCAGAAACAAATGAAAGCGTTCGATCTCTCTATGTTTATCTCGAAAGCGACAGTATTTGAAGTTCTCACAGCGGTGTGTGTTGTGGAATGTGGCATCTTGTACTGTGGTAGATATTTACCAGAGTTTCGGAGGAATATGCTGCCCCCATCTTCAGTATAGTACTTCTGTAATCTTAGAATGGAGACGGTAGGTTCTTTAGAAACTTTGGTAAATATTTTCCAGACTGTATGACGTCATATACCGTGTTCTTAATCGAGCAAGTTTAAATTTTAATAAAATGATGATCGTGGTAGCCCACTGAATTGCTGTGCCTATAACAGGCCGTAAAGGCCCATAGGGTTGTGAGACGTCGAGGCCCCCACATTTTCTCTAGACAGTCGGCTCACAGATGGTGAGGTCAGCCTTACGCGCTGGCCGCCTTTCCCCCCCCCCCAGGAAGATTTCTGGTACTTGTTTCTGTTAGAGGCTGAGTCGACTCCAGGGCCATAGTGCGGTTGGAAGGATTAGGTCAATTGAAAAATCCAACGACCTCATCGGGAATCTGCGACCTTCTGGCTTGTGGCATAGTGCCTGAACAAACTGCGCTACTGCGTTGCGTTTTAATTAAATATATGCTTATCTACATGGAGACGTATAAATTTAAGCGGAAGATGACGTGGTTTATTAGCTGCAGTAGGGAACTAAGGTGATCTTCGGGTGTATTTGGAAGCCCAGCGTCGATCGTTGAATATACACGTGCACGATAAAGAAATGTACCCGTAAAGGTAAAGGTAAGGGTAAAGTTGTCCCTGTGCTTAACCAGTTCAGCACTGCGCCATAAAGGCGTGTGGGGTAGTGGATGTATAGATCCACATTTTCTTGACCTCGGCACTAGCTGGAGGTGAGTGGTCAGCTTCACGTCCCGGCCTCTTTACCCCCGGGGAAAGAGCCTCCGGTACCCATTGGGTAGGAGGTTGAGTGGACCCCAGAGCCGGTCTGGACGAAGCGAAGAAAATTCTTGCCCCCAACGGGACTCGAACACCGACCCTTCGGTTGTCCAGCCCGTAGCCAGCCGCTGTACGGACTGAGCAATGTACGCGTAGCATCCATTTTATTTGGTTACCTCAAAAACCGGAAGATGTGTTAAGAAAATATTGGCAATTAGACGTGTTTTGTTCTTCTCTGCAACGTTTTCCCTTAAGAAAAATATTTACGTGCCACAGGCATGTGAATATTGCTAGCTGTATGATGAGGGTAGGAAACTAAATAGCTTTATAGCCACTTTAAGCCTACACACAAATATAAGTGGTTCATATACAGTTCTGTAGTCTGTGATAATGGCGCCGTGAAGTCTGGTGAAACCCAACCAGCGTTTGGGTCCGTAAAGATGGAAACGACATGTACCTTCAAAACGTTACTTGTTAGTTCACCGGACTACATGGCATAATGTCCTAGGAGAACTATTTGTATGAGAACCTCAGATGTAACTACAGTTCCTGCACAGCCACGAAGAATACAATTCTGCACATCGCTGCAGGTCCCTGTCACAGTGTACAGTGGCAGTATGAGCCGTAATACACTACGATATCTCTGCACTTACAGCCAGCCATAAAATGTTCCCCTGCAGACATGAATAGTATGGTTCTGCACATTGCTGCATGTCATTAACCCAAGTAGCTTTACAACCCCTCTACATCTACAATAAGCTATTGGACAGTCATGATAGAACTCGTGAGATATTTCACTCACTTCGGCTACCTCTTCATGAAGTATCTACTTACTGGCTTAGCAAAGTTGTGCGTGCATGTAGTCCAACTCTGTTACTGCAATATGGCGATGGTAACGGCAACAATATTGATTGATGAATTCAGTTCCACTCCTTTCTGATGCGACCTGGTATGTAGACTGATTATTTTATGGAACGTACTATTGTTTTTTGTTCCAGCTGGACAGATTCAAAGAACCTCCTGCCTTTGGCCCAATGTGTGATCTTCTGTGGTCAGACCCCCTAGAAGACTTTGGCAGTGAAAAGAATGCTGAACACTTCAGCCATAACAGTGTGAGAGGTTGCTCATATTTCTATAGGTGAGTAATGATATTCATGTGGTGCATTGAATTTTGTTGGGTATTGTATATATTTGCTGAACACTGTTCACTGGAATGAAGCTTGTTGTGCTGAACACCACAGTGTGGTTAGTTATCTCAGTTTGTCTTCATAAGGTCTGCTGTGAGACATGGTATTGTAGTTGAAATTATTCGTTTTTTTATTTTGTTATTCCCTCCACTCAAAAATCAGGGAAACAGAGTCTATAAACGGCTCTGGCTACTTTTGCAGCTTTTTCAGTTTATCGCTCTGTCATCCTGCCATTTGACACCACAGAAAGAAACAGTTGTTGAAGCATCATCAAATAAATCATGAAAATGAGAAGAGACTTCTTCCCTTTTGAGGGATAGAAGATAAGATCTTGTGTTATGATGGTGTCGACTCATATTTTCAATTTGCATCATTCACCTACTTCACCTTTTTTGAGCCACGCAGGTTATATACAAGCCCTGCCACTAGAATGCACCACTATATGTAAAGGGAAGAGGAGTGGGGAAGTTCTATCAATAGGAGCTTACTTGTAAGCGAAGATATAATGCCATATAGTCAGGTGAAAGTCAAGAAGTTTTTCAAAGGAATATATCACCTCCTAATGCTTGCTACCATTCAGTCCAGAAGCTTTTGTCTTCTTGTCTATTGTCCAAAAACATAAAAATTAGAATATACAAAACTATAATTTTGCCTGTGGTTCTGTATGGGTGTGAAACTTGGTCTCTGACATTAAGGGAGGAACATAGACTGAGGGTGTTTGAGAACAGGGTGTTGAGGAGAATATTTGGACCAAAGAGAGATGAAGTCACAGGAGGTAGGAGAAAACTGCATAATGAGGAGCTTCATAACTTGTATTCTTCTCCAAGTATAATTAGAATGATCAAGTCAAGGAGGATGAGGTGGGCAGGTCATGTAGCATGAAGGGGGGAGACGAGGAATGCATATAGGATATTTGTGGGAAAGCCAGAAGTAAAGAGACCACAGGAAGAGCAAGGTGTAGGTGGGCGGACAATATTAAAATGGATCTTAGAGAGATAGGATGGGATGGGATGGATTGGATTGATCTGGCTCAGGATAAGGATCAGTGGAATGCTCTTGTGAACATGGTGATGAACCTTCGGGTTCCATAAAATGCTGGGAAATTCTTGAGTAACTGCAGAATTGGCGGCTTCTCAAGAAGGGCTCATCTCCATCTTTTTTATTAGATCCTCTTCTTGTGATTAGATGCGGTCTTTTACAATTGATATTAAATCAGCACCGTAATTACTTCACCAAGTTTGGTGCCTTCTGTATGGGAGTCCATTTGGGAAACATTGTCCTGTACCTTTATCTGTTGTGTTTGTGATGAGTTGCCATGCCTTTCCCCTTTCAGCCCCGCACCAGAGCTTGTAGACAGATAAAAGTAAAGGATTCTATTCCTTCACTGTCTCTGAAACATGTAGACAAACGGAAGCACTAGTGTTTGAGCATGAGCATATATTTTACACTGCACTTCCATGGAGTAAACTTATGCATTATGTGTTGTCCCATTTGATGGGGAGAGTGTCCAACACCTCCACCACACTGTGTACTCACAAAATATGTCACTGTATGGTGATAAAACATCTAATATGGATTTACAGATACCTCAGATAAAGGTTCCTCTTTCTATCTGTGTTGGTCATACTGCGTAAAGTTGTCTGCATTAGAATGAGGATAGCAAATTAGGCATATTTGTGGAGGGCAGTGTTTTTGTAAAGTAGTCCATAAAATAAATGTATTTGGAAGTGAAATAAATTCAGATGTGAAAATGAGCTTGGATATTAATTAAAGAATACAAAGAAATAAGAACTAAATTTTATCAGGTTATAAAAGGAATATTATGGAACGTATAGTGCCAGAGCAATGCAAAACAACAGTCTATAAATTTTAGTCCATGTAAATGTGTAGTGCTGGAATATAGACACATGCAACTTACTTACTTACTTACTCATGGAGCTGAGCCCTTCTGGAGGAGCTGCCAATTCTGCAGCTACTCAAAAATTTCCCAGCATTCTATGGAACCCGAAGGTTCATTACCGTGTTCACAAGAGCCCTCCACTGATCCCTATCCTGAGCCAGATCAATCCAATCCATACCATCCCATCCTGTCTCTGTAAGATCCATTTTAGTATTGTCCACCCACCTATGCCTTGGTTTTCCAAGTGGATTCTTTCCCTCTGGCTTTCCCACCAATATCCTATACGCATTCCTCATCTCCCCCATTCGTGCTACATGCTCTGCCCACCTCATCCTCCTTGACTTGATCATTCTAATTATACTTGGAGAAGAGTACAAGTTATGAAGCTCCTCATTGTGCAGTTTTCTCCAACCTCCTGTCACTTTGTCTCTCTTCGGTCCAAATATTCTCCTCAAACACCCCTCAGTCTGTGTTTCTCCCTTATTGTCAGAGACCAAGTTTCACACCCATAGAGAACCACAGGCAAAATTATAGTTTTGTATATTCTAATTTTTATGTTTTTGGACAGCAGACAAGAAGACAAAAGGTTCTGGACTGAATGGTAGCAAGCATTTCTTGAGTTCAATTTCCTCCTGAATCAGATTTCATTCTGTTATCTTTGTTCCCAAATATCTGAACTGTGCTACATTTTCAAAGCATCTGTTTCCTATCTTTATGTCATGAGTTTGCCCTACATTTTGATGATGAGACAGCAACATAGACTTAGTTTTCTCTGTGTTCACTTCTAGACCAACCTCTTTACTTGCGTCAGTTAAAAGTTGGTGTGTTTTTCTTTATGGTATAGTAGATTTACATCATCAGCATAGACCAACAGCTGATGTGGCCCATTAAATTTCAGTCCCACCCGGTTTCCCTGGACCTTCCTAATGGCATATTCTAAAGCAAGGTTGAAAAGAAGTGGCGATAAAAGCATCTCCTTCTTTTAGACCATTCTGGATAAGAAATTTATCAGACCAGTGTTTACCTACATGGACTTTACTATACGTTTCGTTTAAACACATTTTAATCAAGCTAACTAGTTTCATGGGTAGCCCAAACTCTATCAGAATATTGTACAATACTTCTCTCCTAACTGAATCATAGGCTTTCTTGAAGTCTATGAATAGCTGATGTACTGTCTCATCGTACTCCCATTTTTTCTCCAATATCTTATGAATGCAAAAGATCTGATATGTAGTTGATCTGTTACGTCAAAACCCATACTGATGATCCCCAATAATTTCTATATATGGACTTAACCTTGTGAGAAGAATATTGGACAAAATTTTATATGAAGTTGATAGCAGTGGTATCCCTCGATAATTACTAGAGTCAGTTTTATTACCCTTCTTGTGAACTGGTACAGAAATAGACTCATTCCACTGATAGGTAATTTTTGCTTATGCCAAATAGAAGTAATTAGATTGTGGATCTTAGGACATAATATTTCACCTCCTGCTTGAATAAGTTCTGCAGAAATTTGATCACTACCTGGCGATTTATACCATTTCAATTTTGCAGTACCACTTTCAACCTCAAAAGGGCTAGGATCAGGTACTAACTGCTCAGCTGTATGGATTTCTGTCTGCATAACATCACTGACCCTATGTACATTCAGTAACTGAGAGAAGTAGTTCCTCCACCTATTCAAAATGTTGTGGGAATCTGCAAGCAGATCACCATTCTCATCCTTCACTAAGTTACTGCTAGGCTAGTAACCCCTCTTAAAGTCATTTATTCCTCTATGCAGGTCTCTAATGTTCTTGTTCTTACTGTTCATTGCAAGCTCATCAATTTTGTCTTTCAGATATTCCCTCTTTTTGTTCCTGAAATTCCTGCTGGTTTCATGTCTTATATTGTTCAGATTATCCCCATTTAACTCGCTTGGATCCTGTAACCATTGCAATTTGGCCTCTTTGATCTAATAATTTTGAGCATCGTTCATCAAGCCATGGCTTATGCTTCTTCGGTTCATAATAACCTAGACTCTCTTGGCAGACATTATTATATTCTCTATAATAATTTCCCAAGCTTTATTAACATCCACCTCAGTTTCCAAGTTTTCCAATGCTGCGAACCTATTTGAGATTTCGACACAATACTGCTCTTTACCCTCTATTTCATTTAATTTCTTGAGATTGAACCTCTCCATATGAACTCTGTGTGTTGTTTGTTTGCTCACTGCCAGTCTTTCCCTAACCTTTGCCACCACCAGGTAAATGTGCTGCCCTGAATGATCGGACATCAAGTATACTTGAGTGTCTTCTCCTATATATCAAAATATGGTCTATTTGATTGTATATCTTCCCATCAGGAGATGTCCTAGTAAATTTATGGATGTTACAGTGTGGGAACATTGTACTTTTGACAGGAAGGTTTTTTGATGTGGCGAAGTTTACTACTCTTAACTCCATTATCATGACTAATTTCATGCAAACTATCATTCCCAGTCATTATTTGAAAATGTCTTCCCTGCCTACTTTGTCATTGAAATCTCCTAACAAACTTTTCATAGGGTACTTCGGGAATTTATCAAATACATGTTCTAGTTCTTCATATAATCCATCCTTTATGTCATCAATTTTATCTTCTGTTGGGGAGTGAACATTCATAACAATGATATCACACCATCGACCTTTTAGTATTATATATGATATTCTATCACTAACAACCTGTACCTAATTCATGATTTTCATTCCCCTTTCCATAGAAAAATATATAGTCTCCTGCTGGTGCGGTGCCACCTCCATCCCATCTGACCTCCTTTACTCCCTCTAAATCTAACTTATATTTTAAGATATCTTCTGCCACTGCCCTGAGCAAACCTGCCCTATACAAACTTCGAACATTCCAGATGCCAGATCTCATATTCAGTTTCATTAGCTCAGGTCGTTTATCCAAGGAATCCATTCAGGTCCGAGGCTTTAAGTTCATTTTTGTAACATAATTATTTTTTATGGTGAGGAGTTTGAGCCCCACGCCCAACCCCCAAGCTGGAGGACCACACCTTGTCGGCTGTCCGCGACTGCTTATTCAATATATTCACAGCTTCCCTCCAAAACTGGAGGGCGTCTCCTCCATCCGCAATCTGAGGACGCGCCATGTCGTGGTGACAGGGACCCACCTAACATGGATAGACACATGCAAAGGGAAACAAAAACAAAACCCAGTCAATGGCTGTTATGTACTTAAGAAGTGAAAGGGAAAGAAGATGTGATACAAGCATAATTAAAAATAAATTTAGGAGGGAAGAAGTTAAAGCTGGAAGGGAAATGGTTACAGTGGTATGGCCATTCAGAACAGATAAAACAAGTCTGCCAAAAATGGCATTACAGTTAAAATTTAAAGGAAGAAGACACATCAGGATGGTTCAGTCAGGTACTAGCCATATCAAGGAGAGGAAAGAGCCGGCAAGCCATTGAAAGTGGAAGTTTGTGTGGAAGAAAGAAGAGGTTGGACACTTATCTTCCATCACCATGTATCAAATGGAAAGGATAGTAGAGAAGTAAAAGAAGTGTTCATAACTTTTATTGGACTGAAACTTCTGTCACAAGATTTTACTTTTAAGAGAAAGGTTAGGGAGATGAATAGTACATTTGAACCATTGCGTCATTTGGCTGCAATTTCTTGACACCAGCTGCATTTTTCTGTGAATATTATGCCCCCCCCCCAGTGTTCAGTCATTGTGAATATATGTGTTATTTATTTATGGTCTGTTTATGTTGTCAGAAGCTCTGATTATGTAGTGCTGAGCATCAGGATGGTTAGTGAATAATGAATTGAGAAAAATGTGCGAGGAAGCAATCATCTTAATTCGAGGCAGTGTCCTGGCATTCATATGGAGGAACTGAAGCACAAAAGACCTCAGAATACTGGGTCTCAAGACTAAGATTTGAACCCAGGACCTTCTGAATACAATGCCTTAGTGCTAATCAAACACAGAGTTTGGTTATGGGTGTGGTACCATCAGCCAGATGCCATCAGTATGTGAGAGGCAACTCCTGAAACGTTGGTTTTCTGTTACTTGATGCATTTACATCTGTTGATATCCTGAATCTACAGATTTAACTGATTCATAGACCATGCAATAGCTCAAGTTGTTAATTATCAGCATCACACCATTGCAGCTCAAGTTCAGCCCCAGCTCTGGTGACGTGGGATCTGTGGTGAACAAAGTAACATTGGCACATGTTCCCCCTGCCCCCCACCTTCTGAGCACTTTGGTTTCACCAGCCAGTTACCATTCTACCCATGCTGCATTCTCTCATACATGATATGGGATAGAAACAGTGGGTCATTTGTAGCTAGTGCAACAAGGGACTCTGAGAGTCTGCTCTTTTCCTTGAGGAAAAATGTGGGCAGATCACATAGTGGTGTCTGTATGTGCATGTGTGTGGTCCTTTTTCAACTTCGTAAGTAACACATTTTCACTAGAGTTAGTATGTATCTTATGTGATGGGGACACAAGCTTATGAGGTGGAATCAGCACTAATAGCAGTTTATAGATGGCCTTGAAATAATGTGTGGTAATATATCTTTGAATATTATGAAACTTTTGTGAAGAAAATTCTTCTGTAAAATGTGTAATAGCAGGTTGGTGGTTGTATGAAATCTGTGTAACTTTCTGTTGGCAGTAACTAGTGAACATCTTGAGACAAACATGTGAAGTGTAGCGCAGAGCTGGATCATAAACATGCATACAAATTCTGTCTGAAGTATTGTTTGTAACTCAATTAAAACATGGCAACAGTGGGATACTTTGAGGTTGTATCTGATGGATAAAATGTGTACCTAAGTAGTAAGCTCTTTCTAAAATGGCGGTCTGTAACGTGTTTACAATTGCAGCCAATAAAACAGAATCCATTTTTGACCATGTTTTGATCATATATGACAAGCATATGAATCCAGCATGATAAGCTATAGGTTAAATTGTCAGTGCTGGATTATAACTTTATAATACCTATAAGACATTAACAATACATGGAAAGTTTATACAATAGGGAAGTAAGCCTTATGAGTTCTTTCCATAGTTGCTTGTTATGTCTGAATTCAAGACCTGATTCCTGGTCAAAATATAGAACTTGTCAGCCTGCAGAAATCCTTCTTGATTTCTGAACTTCAGCCTATCACATCAAAACGTTAGCATTAAGATGTTATTTTAAATAAAGCTCATACCCTTGAAAATGTAAATTTTGATCAGTATACATAATCCTTTAAGGCAGCTCACTTCTTGGACAATTTGTTAATATGTAACCATACAAACTGTTCATTCGAGAAGGGGTATAGGATGCCACTCAGCCTCCTGTTGCCTTTGGAATGCAGTGAGAGACCAGGATTACGTTCATGAAGAAATTCAAAGCATATTAAATTCTGAGAATGTCCACTACTGTTCACAGCTGAGGGGATTGAAAGACTTCAAGTGATTAATAATGTGATTTGTTGACATGGGATCATTACATGATTTAAGTAGCAAATAATTTTTCTGAATGTGTATGAAGGGCACACGGTAGCGTAATTGGTTGAGGCACTGTGCTAGAAAGCGGAAGGTCGCGGGTTCAAGTCCCAATGAGGTCATTGGATTTTATTGAATTTACCTAATCCTTCCAGCTGCACTATGACCCTGGGGTTTACTCAGCCTCTAACAGAAATGAGTACCAAGAATATTCTTGGGGGTAAAGGGCAGCTGGCGCTTAAGGCTGACAACCTTGCAGATTGTCTAGAAAATGTGAGAACCTCAACATCTCACAACCCTATGGGCCTCCATGGTCTGTTACAGGGATACCTTTACTTACTTTACTTATGTATGAACTGCCTTGAATTTTTATGCATTCTTTACGAAGTTAAAATAATGATGTCTAATGTTGAAGTAATATCCATTTTTGTGTCTATTTATGGCCTGGTGTCAGCACCTGTACCATCGGACAAAATTTCTTCAAACTCAGTGTACAAGATTTGGACTGAAAGTTGTTAAACAGTCCTGATTTTCAGCCAAATTGATCCATAATAAAGCCTGGTTCTTATAAGGCCATAGATGGGCTTTTCCGTGCATCTCATAAACCATTGCACAGATGATGATGATGATGCAATCTGGTACACTGGACTTCTCAGAACATTGTTGGGCAATTCTGATTTTAGCTGTACTGATGCATAATAAAGTGTGGTTTACATAAGGCCATAAATGGACAGCTTCCTAGATTTTATTGAAATTTGATATGCCAGACCACTACTAAAATTAATCAGGCTGTTCTCATTTTCAGCCATATTTATCCACAATAATGTCTAGTGCATATAAGACCATAAGTGGACTTTCATGTGTATCCCATAAACTATTCCACTGATTTTGTTGAAACTTGTTACGGGAAACTTTCTGCATTTTTCACCTCATTATTTTCATTTTAGGTAAACTTAATAGACTTGAAAGAATTCCATTAGTGATTTTGTGCCCTACATTATGAAGTACACCCTTTCAGTATTGCTTATTCATAATCTGGTTGCCTTATAATAATTGTTGCCACTGATCAAAGCTTCAGATAGAAAAGCAGTTTCTTAGAACATATTTTAGTTAAAAGTATTTCTAGTTCATATGTATATTATCTGTTCCAGTTATGCTGCATGCTGTGATTTCCTTCAAAACAACAACCTGCTTTCCATAATTAGAGCGCATGAAGCCCAAGATGCAGGGTAAGACATCTTTGTAATTTTGACAACCTGCACCAGAATTTAGATATGTTGTTAGTGCAATGTATTCTGCATAACATCAAATAAAGAGGTTGGCTTATGGTTTTCCAACTTTTCAGTTGATCATCCATGTATTGGTACGCTGTCCTGCTAAAGAATCTCTTTATATTTGTTTGCAGACTGTCTTGAATGAAACATTCCTTAATTCTTTAGCAGGCCTTTTAACATATTTGTCTGCATCACTCATCAGAAATACAACTTATATGCATAACTGTATTTAAATTATTTGCCTGAAAATATCCCTACTGAAATATTTTCTGCTTATTTTGAGGAACTGTGACTAAATATTTTCTGGTTCCTGTTACTTCTTTGACTAGTATCTAACTTCCTGACCTGACTGACTCTATGGAGCAGACCCCCTCTTGAGAGGTTGATAGTTGTTGTCAATAAAATCCCCACTTTTAATGTAATCCAAACGTTCATTACTGTGAGGTTTGAAATTCTTATAGTGGTGAATATGAAGATTGCAGTATCCTGGGATGTGGTACTGAGGAGTGTATCCATTACATTGGTAACTATCCCCCAAACCACAAGATGTCACATTCCAGAAGAACCTAATTCTTATTCAGTACTGTTTTCACAGGACTTGCCTTTGGAACATATCTGGAGCCAGTTAAATCCAATCCTTGCCCTTAGATCCTGTTTCTTTAGGATTCAGTTTAAATATATCCTCACATCTGTGCTAAAATCTCCAAAGTGGCTTGTGACCTTCAGGTTCTCTGACTAAAATTTTAAATGCATTACTCATATCCAAGTTTATGCTACTAGGGGCATTCAAAAATCATTGACACTAAGTATTTTTTCTTCACAGTAACCATTTATTGAAACAAAATACATACAGATTATATTAGAGGTATTCCCAGTCAATGTGTGTGCACCTTTGCCATCGTTCTGGCAGCTTCCATATTTGCACAGCAAATACCACTGGTTGTATCACCAGCCCTGTTACTTGACAGGAAATGGTTTGTTTCTTTTCTTGCAGTTACCGAATGTACAGGAAAAGTCAGACAACAGGTTTCCCATCGCTCATCACAATCTTTTCGGCACCGAACTACCTGGATGTATACAATAATAAGGTATATATCTTTTTTAATTTGTATTATGAAAACTGTTTGAGATACAACACTTCATGGCAGATATATCAGTTGTGCTGAAGTAATATACAAAAGGAAATTTGTAATGAAATAAATTTTCCCATCTATACATTTCCCACTCTTCTTCTGTACTTATGTAAGTTTCCATGGGTTACATGAAACTTCAATCAGACTTTTCACTTATTTATATGTTGTGGTCACCAGGCGGCAGTGCTGAAATATGAGAATAATGTGATGAACATTCGGCAGTTCAACTGCTCCCCCCACCCATACTGGTTGCCCAACTTCATGGATGTGTTCACATGGTCCTTGCCATTTGTTGGTGAAAAAGGTAAGTTTCTGTATTATACCGCTTGCAGTACCATCTTGAAAGTATTTTCTGCTGAGTTGTGTCTGCTTATATGTGAAGATTTTTTCGGTTTAAGAAAGTACCAAATTCTTCTTTTGGCTAAGTTTGCACAGTCTCTAGAAGATCAAATCTTTGGTAAGATAACTAAACATACACCTTTTCGCTGTCATTGCAGTACTCCATATGCAATAAACTTCTGATTACCTTGGATGTGTGGTGTATGAAGTATGCCAGTTACATGAATCTGCTGGTTGCATGAGAGATACGTCCAGAAGCATAATACAGTACAGTCTGGTGAACATAACTGTACTGTTTTAAACGTGCAGTGAAAGAAGACACTAAAATATTTCAGTTCCAAACTTCTGAGCTTGTTCATGCCTGATATTCAGTTGATAGTCAGATTTTTATGCTGGCTATTGATTCCNGAGACGTTGAGGGTCCCACATTATCTAGACAGTCAGCTCACAGATGGTGGTAAGGTTGTCAGCCTTGTGCACCAGCTGATTCTTAATATGGTCTGTGCCCTTTAACTGTTTTTAACTGTATCATCTATGCTGTTTATATTCTGTTTATGTTTCTGGCTTTAATTGTCAAAGATTACTTCCGTATAGTGCCGCTTGTAGCGCTACTACTTCATATAATTTTACCTATATCAACCAATACAAAATACATGTTTCATAAATTTAAATCATCTCCTCAGATGTAAGATTTTTAAAGTTTTTTGTCCTCTTGCAGTGACAGAAATGCTGGTGAATGTGTTGAACATCTGTTCAGATGATGAACTCATGTCCGATGGTGATGATGCCCTGGAGGAAGGTATGTTTACATCATATGTATCTGTGCATATCCAGCCCCTTGTATTTCAAAGGGACTTTCCTTTGCTTGTTACTGCAGAAACAACAGGAACATTACATACTGAACAAAGAATCATTATTGGTGTAATACTGAAAACCGTAATCTCTGAAATTTATGGATATTCTGCCTATGATTCGAGTGATAAATACATAGTTCATTTTTAAAATGTTCCTTCATATGTTTTATATCATTGCTGGTGTTGTGTTGAAGTTAGGATATGCAGTTACACAGATACTATGTTGGATATTGCTATGTGGGATATGTTTGATATACATAGAGTTTTGGAAAATGGATCCTTTTCAGTTATAAGGTGTAGAGAGTGGGTGTTCCTGTGCGGGTGGTCACCTAACAAAGAGCTAATCTTTTCACTGGGCCAGTGATTTTATCCATCTAATGGGCCGAACTGAGCATTTACCCCTCCTTTCCACCTGATAATGAAGACAGATGCAGTTTCTGAAACATTGTATACCAAACATACGAACAGTGCCCAATGTAGTATTTATAGTATTTGTATAATGAATCACCCGTTTCTCACACACCATTAGAGAATCTATGATTGTGCAAATCCTTATCTCAGAGAGAGGCTGTCCACTGATGTTCACTTGTTTGGTCTTAGTTCTAGAATTATTATGCTCTTAAGTTATAAGTAGTAATGATCTTTAACAATGTACATCTAGTTTAAGTAATAATAAATTATAACTGTTGAATTGTCGGTGTTTGATCTATGAAGTCATGCACTAGATTCACATTCTTGCATTAAAGTACATGACCTCCATACCAGCAGGTAGTAACAGATTCATTGCATGCAGTGTCTTCTGATTTTGGATTGACCTCTACCACAAGGGATGTGAGCTGGCTATAAGGAGTGCACAAGAAAGAGAAGGAAGTGGTTATGTTAGAGAGGTGAATGACATGAAAGTTGAAGAGAGATATTGGATAATGATACTAGTCCTGCTGTTGACATCCAGTTGAATATTAACATTTGTATTTGATTTAATAAACGTGTAGTCATTCATTCAGTTGAGGTGGTGTCTTCTAAAATGTCACTAAAATGCATAGTCTTATAGGTTAGGTTTTTGCTGTATATTGCTTAAAATAAATGAGTATGACTTGCCCTTTCATGTGTATGTCACAGTTACCGTATTTACCTGCATAATTTATGCGCTTTTTTACCCAGAAAATCTTAAATGTGGATATTATTTTTAGAGTGTAATTTTATGCTTTTGATCGAGGTGTTTATGGGTAGACAAGATGTGGCAATACAATATGGATATTAAGACCCCCAGGCTGCATTGTGTGATTCCATGATGAACATTAAGATGAAAATTCTCCAATGCAGAATTTTTACTAACACATAATTTTCACAGAAAACATTATTATGCATTGTGGCAACACAGTACACATATTCATGCCTGTAGGCTCCACCGTGTTATTCCTTGATGATCACTGAGGCCAAATTTATCTTTGATAAAAATATCCGCAATGCATAATTTTCACAGAAAGTACAGTTTGGCAATATGGTATGGATAGTCACGAATACAGACTCAAGCACTTGATACATTGATTAACACTGAGATGAAATTGCTTGTTGATAACATTTCAGCCAGTACATAATTTTCATGAAAAGAGAATTGTATGTGATGCTGTAATGCTTTTAGTTTTGATTACTTTCTTTTTATTATGCATCAGTCAGATTCTGTCATGGATATAACTGTGGCAGGTAATTTGGTCTGAAATGTCTTGACTGAAGGTAAGAGTGCGTAAATTATGTCAGTAAATACAGTATTTGTGCCTTGGAAAGGAATGGATGTAACACAAAAAGAATTTTGGTTGGAATTAAAATCTTTTGTTTTACTACCCATTATGAGCCAAGGTTATTTAGATAAATAGAAATTACAACAGTTCTAGCTACACATGATTTTATTTGAGGGAGGGGCAGAAATTGGTGTTACTTGTTCAAACACAAAGACTTGCAAGATATTAGTGCAGAGTGGAAATAAAAGATAAAAGGTGTACCAGAAAGTTCCTGGACTGCTATTGTTGTAACTACCTCAGTGAAGGAAGATGAGAGGGGAAGCCAAGGTCACACTCCCGCAAGCGTACCGTGTCAGTCTGCCATGTGATACCTCACTGTGAACACGCATTATTTTTACATAAGGGGCTTTTTGACTTCATATTTTGTTTTGTCTGTGATGGAAGGCAAAATCAAGCAATGTGTTTGCATCAAGTTTGCATGAAGTTCAGTAATTCCACTACCAAAACACTTGAAATGCTTCATGTGACGAACATTCAGGGTGACCAGGCACCAGCAAAATTACAAAAAATGTTCAGAAAATTCAAGAACCCATCCACAAAGATTGTCACTGAACAATCCATGAGCTCACAGACACTATTGGAATCAGCTATGGAGTTTGCCAAGAGATTTTAACAGAAAATTTGAACATATGCCGCATTGCTGCAAAGTTTGTTCCCTGACTCTTGACAAATGATCAAAAGCAGGGGCACGTAAACATGCATCTTGAGCTATGAAGGAAGGATAACAAGGACCCAACTTTTACGGGTATGGTCAACTCTGACTTTTACTGTGACATTTTGAGGTGCTTAAGAGAAAATGTGTGACGAGAAGACTGGAACTTCGGCGCAACCACAACTGGCTCCTTCATCATGACAACACACTGTCCACACGTCCCCGAAAACCACAGAGTATGTGACTAACAACAACACGGTTATCATTCCCCATCCTCCCTACACTCCAGACTTAGCCCCCTGGGATTTCACTTTGTTTCTAAAATTAAAAATGAAACTGAAGGGATGACATTTTAAAATAGTGTCTGACATCCAAAGGGAATCACAAGTGGTACTCAACAGCATTAAGGAAAATGACTCCCACAGTGCTTTTGAAGCGCGGAAGAAATGATTTTGAAGGAGATGGTAGCCAAAGTTGAGTAAGTTAAGCTAGCATTTCTTTTTTGACCTAGTCTGGGAATTTTCAAGTAATTACCTTAGGTTGGTGCCATGTATGTACATTTTTTACTCTGACCAACAGCCATTTAAGCTGGAATGTCAGAAACTCCAGTATCATTCCCAGAGGTTTGCATTAAATGATGAAAAGATTAATTATAAAATAATTTAATCCTTTCTAGCCTTTGATATTATATTGTAATCATTATATCTATATAAATAAAAATGTAAATGTTGGTTTGTTAGCCCTCGAAGATCTCCGAAAGTTTTTCACCGATTGCTTTGAAATTTTGACACAACGTTGCATTCGAACACGCGCGTTTTTATATACCCATTATATAGATGTCACACCTGTGACAGGTAAAAACATGCGTCTTTTAAAACCGGAATTGGAATTTGGAATTCAGAAGAGTGTCCCCTATGGAAACGCTAGAACAGACTGTTGCATAGGAAGTAACAATAGCGATACTGTATCGAATCTCCATGGTTACGACAAATGCACGGAGCGTTCCCACAGAGACAGCACAATAACAATGGGTCGTTGCGTAGGAATTGCGGAATCAGCAAAGCAGCACATGGCTGAAGATATTTTCCTTCAAATGCACAAGGATAATTCCAATATGAACATGGATTTCACAGCAGAAATCTACAACGAGGCGTTGATAATGATTGAGGATTTGTGCTTGGAAATCGCGAACAAAGTTCTCAATCACTTGGGAATGCCATCACCGAATCGATCTGCTGCTGCTTCGTTCAGTGTAGAATTGCGTTGTGAACAAAATTACAACACGGGTGATCTTTTGTCATATGTGCAATCAAATATTCCTAAGCTAAGGCTTCAGCAAAAAAGCATATACGATCAAATCATGCAAACTGTCAGTAACGGGGTTGCAGAAATCTTCCTCTTAGATGCACCAGGAGGAACTGGTAAAACGTTCCTAAGTAGATTGATTCTGACAACAATTCGATCCCAAAATGACATAGCCTTAGCTCTTGCGTCGTCCGGAATAGCTGCAACATTGCTACCAGGTGGAAGAACTGCTCATTCCGCTTTGAAATTGCCATTGAACATGCAATTCATTGAAAATCCCATGTGCAACATTTCCAAAGGATCAGGCATGGGAAAGGTATTGCAGAAATGCAAACTTATTGTTTGGGATGAATGCACAATGGCACACAAAAAATCGCTCGAGGCTCTTGATCGATCATTGCAAGATTTGCGTGGAAACATCAGACCATTTGGAAATGCATTAATATTGCTTGCAGGGGATTTCAGGCAAACATTACCTGTAATTCCTCGATTGACACCAGCGGACGAAATAAATGCTTGCCTGAAATGCTTACTTTGTGGCGACACGTAAAGACGTTAAAATTAACTACAAATATGCGTGTCCAGCTGCAAAACGATCCATCAGCTGAGATATTCTCGCATCAATTGCTGGAAATTGGGAACGGAAAGGTGCCGGTTGATCTGACCTCAGGACGAATTTCATTGCCCCATAACTTCTGCAATTTAGTGACGTCAGAGGAAGAATTGGTTCAAAAAGTATTTCCCAATGTTGAAACCAATTATAAGAATCACGATTGGCTGAGTGAATGAGCTATTCTTGCGGCCAAGAACAAAGACATCTATGAACTTAACAAAATCATTCAGTCTAACATTCAATGCGAGGCAGTCACATACAACTCCGTCGACACTGTTGTGGAAGCAGATGAAGCGGTTAATTATCCAACAGAATTTTTTAATTCACTCGATCTGTCACAGCAATGCATGGCCAGGTACAGCTAGTGCAAAATAAATTTATTTCTATAAAGTTTGAAGTGAGGTATATGCAAATTACTGTATACATTCTTCAGTGGGTACAGCTTCTCTCTGTTCCTTAGTCTGGAGTTAGAGAATCGTTTGCAAAAAGTATACACAGTATAATAGTATCAGTACATATGATTAAATTATTGTGCATATGAAACTAACTGATTTGAATTCATTGCTATTCCTTTCATTTGGGATAACACAGATGGTAAGAATCAGTCTTTAATATATTGTCTTCATGTAGGTGTGTGTTTATTAGCTGGACTGCGCAGGTTAAATTTAATTTAACATTATTATTGTCATTATAATCTCTATTAATTATTACTATTGTTGGATTACTCTTTTTTATTTTTAAAATATTTGTTATATGTTTTGGACTTTCAGAGCACAAACCGATTGCTCCAAATATTGATTGAACGAACTTGCTTTTTCTTACATATTTTTACCCAACTTAGAGTTTGATTCACACGTTTCAACAGCCATTTTCATTGACAGTTATATGGATGTACTTTTATATACTTTGGTCCATAATATGGCGGTATTAATAAAGCCATGCGTCTGGAAAGCAGTGCTTAATTATCCATCAGTTACATAGTTCCTAAGGTTATCACAAGCTAATTGTTAGTTCATCTTAATTTACGTGATTGTTAAAGGCAACGTAAAGCATGGATAGCCCTTGTTGAACATTGTTCTATTGTTAATTTTAAAGCAATGTTAATGGGAAGGCATGTGGTTAGAAATCATGAATGTAGCAAAGTTTGATGTGTCCTTGTAAGAAGAAATAAATTGGGTTGGATTTTAATTTGTAAGTTTACATAGGAATCTTCCAAGAATCTTACAGAGCTCATGCTTAGAATGTCTTAACAGATATATTTGAATATGGGGGGAGAGCCGGGTAGCTGAAGCAGGGTCCTAATGATTTTCCTTGCAGTTAAAACAGAATGCTTCCAGATTTCTATATTTCATCTTATACTGATCAAAGATTCTTTGCCTTGAAGTTAAAACTCATGACATGTCATAAAATGTTCACATATGCAGCAAGTGTGATGTAGTTAAAATGCACAAATATAGATATTGGACATCTGTGTGCTTTAGGTTCGTGTAAGGATCTCATCATAATACGTATATCTGGATACTCCAGAGTGAAATGCATGTGTTTTGTGTTGAAAATTTTCTCTTGCCAGTATTATTCCTTATTTTTGGTTATGAATTATGTTAAGAGATGGGGCTTTTTAAACACTGATTACATTTTATGACATTATTTGTCATAGTTTAACTATATTTACACTGCGGTATTTAAAAATAAATATCTTTGTGTAAAAAAATTGAAAAATGGCTGTTCCTAACATTCTTTTCATTAGCACTTGTTATTGTTGTTTGCTCTTTGATTTTGAGAAAATATAGTAATTTTATGTCTTTGGTGTTGATGGGCAAGATGCTCTGTCCTCTTTCTCTGAAACCTGTAGCAAATCGTACATTTATGAAGTCTTATGTATATATAATTGCATTTTATATATTATGTTACTTTTACTCTTTGGTATCATGAAACTTAGTTTTTTTTTTTATATTTGGCTAAAAATGACAACTGCTTCTGTATGTAATTTGGTTGATATTTTTATAAGCTTGCCACCTTATTTTAAATAAGAGTTTGATATCTTGCTTCATATCCCTTAGTAGATAATTTGAATGAGAATCTTGTTAAGAAGAAAAGGAAGAATATCTAACAACTAGATACTTCCTTTGATTGAACTCTTTATTAATTGTTTGACTAAATTTCAGTCTGACTTGTAGTTGTCCCTTTTCTGTGTTACTTTCCTTGAAACATTCAGATGTATGAGTTCTCCTGGAAAGGTCTTGATCTTCACACGTTCTCCCTTTTATTAGTATTTTTTCTAAACAATTGCACCTTCTGACTGCACTTTACCTTCTCTATATGCATTTGGACTCTCAATTGCTGGGTGCACAGGGAAACTTTTTATACAAAAGAATGGTAAGTTTCTTGTGCAACTTATGGGTTTCGTTTTCATTGTGATTTCTTTTCACGATTATTAAACAATAGAATTTCACCAGATATACTTAATATATTCACCTAGTTGTGTGCTTTACCATCTGTCTTCAATGGCTGACAACAGTTTGTGAATTACTCTAATGGAGATATAAATCCATAGAGAGGGAGAATTGTTTCTCCTCTTTTTGCCTTATGAAAAAGATTACTAATAATAGCATGCCCGGTGTGCTTTGTTTTATTTTAAACACATGCTATGCACTAAGTTAAAAAATGTGATACTCCTCACATTCCAAGAACAGAAATACAAAGGATTTAATTGATGTATGTGTTTCCACATGAGGTGTTCATAACACACCCCTCATCACCTCAAGACATTTGGAAATATGTTATAATTTGTTAAAATAATTTCAGTTTCATTATTTTTATGTTATTTATATTTGTTATTTGAACAAAGAATGCTTTGGTATACAGTTTTAGTCACCTTTGCTTTTATACATATCCACTTGAATGTGATAAAAAAGGTGTTTTTAGCATCATGCATTATGATGACTGTAAATTAAATTTAAATCACAGTGTATTATGATGACCCACCATATACATAATTGTTGAAACAGATTTTCCCAAAACCCTTGCAAACAACATCCATACTCATCCTGGGTGTTTTACATCATATCTTTCTTTCAAAAATGAGACACACAAGACACTTATTTCGTTTACGGATTTATTTTTCCCTCCTGCATATAGGTGTTGGTCTTTATATTAGATGTTAGTTAGGCCACAGTGTCTTACTTGTGTGTGTGTGGAACTCCTAATTTCTTTGAAGTGTTCGTATTGGTGTTGTGAGTATACATTATGCCTAACCTATCCTTCAAAAATCTTTGTAGTAGATGCATGCCTGCATCATTTGCTATTTATGTTGAAACACAAATTATCTTAGAGATAACATCAGTTTTTTATTGAATATATTTAGCTTTGATTAATAATGTATTTTTAAATAACAGCTGATTAGGAAAGTAATGTTACTTTAGGCTGAAGTTGGGTTTGTTTCAGTAAATTAGTTTAATCATAGAAATCCCTTGTTATACCATAGGTCTATGGCAGTGTTTCCTTTATGGTATGAAGAAGCACTTGCCCGTCTGCCAGAGAGCTGTTCTATACAGTACAAAATAAGTAAAGCCAAATTGTTTTGTAACACCTCTCAACTTTTAACCATAAGGTTTAGTTCAAAATAGTGGATGTTAAATACAGCTGAGATATATTTTAAATGTAAGCAGTTGTTTTCAGTGGTATACCAAGGAATTTTACATTTAGATCATATATGATATTATTGCTTGGTTTTTGTTCAGGATTAACTCTTAATGTGATCACTTTGTAAGAATTAATCTGCTGCCTCGCTTTATGAAAACAGTTGTGGAACAAATTAAATTATTTAATTAATTTTGCTTATTTCGGTAACATTGGATTTATACATCACTCGGCTCAATTTGATGAAATTATTACAGTATTAAAAAAAAAGAATGATTTTGACCATTTCAATGCCAGAAAAGCCAGGAGCAAAACTTTTTAGCCCAAGTTTTGACAGAATCAACTATAGATATGTCCTTATTTAATGAACCACAGGGGGGATGAATTTTCTTGCTTGAAATTGAGGTTTTCACTGAATAGGGATTATGAAAATTATATCAAGGAACCCATTTTCTTACTTATAAGAATTACTGTGTATAATTATGTTAAAATGATGTGCATACATAAGTACTTAAACTGTTGCTATACAAACAAATACAGTCACATTAGCAGTAATATAAAATTGGTTTATAAAACAATGAAGCTATATGAAATAAACACTGAAATAAAGAGACTCTTTCTACACAAGTAGATACCATTACATTATCAATAATATCAAATTAATTCCTAAAATTATTAACAATATATGAAATAGTTGTGCTGGAAAGATTTAGAGCAGAAGGAATGTGAGTGTAAATCATCGTTTCAGCCGCAGTCACGCTAAATGAAGATGTGAGTTCTGGAGAGATGAAAATTTCTTACTATGAGTGTAGGTTATTTGTTAATAAAAATTCACTAAATACAGGAAAATAGTATGTTATTTACATTTGGTTTGAACTTAAAAGAGATATTGATTGAACATGGGATTTTAGAAAATGTTGGCACGCTAAATTGGGTATTCACTGTATTCTGTCATGCACATCATTTTATTGCTAACTACATTGCAAGTTCAGTACAGAGGACATTTGAGATGTTTAGTCTGTGTTCAGGCACCAGTTTCTTACATTGCTCTTACTGGAAATGTTTTCATCCATGATATGTATACACTTGCCGTCTTGTAGTGCACTCAGTTTCACCTGTTACTTCATGACATGTTTTGGCAACATAGTGCCATCATCAGGTGCCCTAATTACGCTAATCTATTTCATTGCTTGCCTTTATAAAATTATTTTAAAAGTATTTAAAAAGTGCGTATTTGTCAACTATAATGAATTTACACACACTAAAACTTGTTAAGATTATTCATCTTATGTGTCTTAATTAAAACTTGTGTGTGGTTCTTCCACTATGGGGGTCATTTTTCTTATATTCTGTGTAAACCGTGTCTTGTGATGTGTGTTCCCTTCTTAGCTGTGAGTGTTGTAAGCTAAGAAGCTAAGAAGGGAACACATATCACAAGACATGGTTTACACAGAATATAAGAAAAACGACCCCCATGGTGGAAGAACCACACGCAAGTTTTAATTATGACACATAAGATGAATAATCTTAACAAGTTTTAGTGTGTGTAAATTCATTATAGTTGACAAATACGCACTTTTTAAATACTTTTAAAATAATTTTATAAAGGCAAGCAGTGAAATTGATTAGCATAATTAGGGCACCTGATGATGGCACTTTGTTGCCGAAACATGTCGTGAAGTAACAGGTGAAATTGAGTGCACTACAAGACAGCAACTGTATACAGATCATGGATGAAAATCAGTGCAACAGGATGCTAAAATACAACATTATGGAAATGTTTTAATTAAATTAAAATTGAACAAGTAAGAGCACTTTTAAGCTTCACTTTATAGTGATTTAAATGATTAGCACTGGGAATTCAGATGGTCATAATATATAGAAAATATTAAGATACTTAGTTTGAAACCTTTCCAATATATATGTTGTTCCATAATGAAAGAATGAGACCAGTAAAATAGTGGTTGACAGTAGATTCTGTAGGGTTCTGACAGTGATGTATGATGCTTGGAATTAGTGGGTATTGACATTGTCCAGTATTCTAAATAACACAGCATTTCAGAAACTGGATCTGTTTCCATCCTCAGTTGACAGCAGCGGGAGACACCTTCTCTATTGAGTCTGTTAGAGCTAATCTTGGTCCACTAATGGAGGTTAGGTTATTTTAAGGTACCCAACAGATTAGGTATCTCCCACCCTCTAAGCTGGGGACAGAAATAGATTCAATTTTCAGAATGTTGTGTCCTTTAGAATACCGACCCATGGACCAAGTCCAAAAACACAGTAATTCCAAATGGCTGTTAAGTATTGAACTTCACTTTTCATGATGAAATTGTTCTCCAGTGTGTGTTGGAGCTTTGTCATAAAAGTTATGTATAAATCCTATCCTAAGTAACTCTCTTTCATAAAACATACGTAGTATTGGCAGTTTCCTTGTTTGTGAAGTTTTCTTTGAAAGCCTGAATTTCATAGACACATTAAGATTTAATATTTTTACTGTAATCTCATGGCTGTGAATAGCCACTTCTAGCACATATATTTAACATACTTTGTGTGATACTAAGTATTAAGAAGTTTGAGATTTGTAGAAGTGGATTTTTTCTGGTGTTAAATAATTAGATTATATTATGTTGTGATATGTGACATTAAGGAACCAGTATACTTTCATCACCATTCTCATCACATCATCATCATCATCATCATCAGTTTTATGTTGCTTTGTACAGATTGCTTTAAAAAAAGATTACAAGTTCATTGAAACCCTCTTTTCAAAATGTTTATTGCATTTTCCAGACTGCTGATTGATGCAGGACTGAGCACTTGTAACATATTAATAATGTAGACTGCTACCATCTGTTATAGAGAAAGTATGAATGCAGTTTTAAAGTGCCTCAACATTTAACTTCCGTTTTCAAAATATTACTCAAAGAAACGTAGTTGTGTTATGGTAAAGGGGCAGAATGTTTGTTATTCCCAGTACAGGAAGCCCTTGATTGACAATTAATTAAACATTAAAGGAAATAACATCTTTTACATTTCTTATATGCAAAGTATTTATTTTAGGAAAATTTTATAAATGCTCGAGCATCTAATTTCTAGTCTTAGTGCACACAGTGTGGAGGGTATTCATTTTTTAGTAATATCACTTTTAATTAATTAAATATGGATGGCAATCTCGGTACATTTATTTAATATAACAAATGAAGTATCAGTTACAGATCATCATCATCATCATAATCATAGTCATTCGTTGTCATTATTAATGATGCTGTTATAATGCTGTTATTATTTCTGAGTTAAGTATACATTGCCTTCATGTGAAGCACATACTGTTGCAGTTTTTGCGATACTGATATGAATGTTCTGAAACAACTTTTCTGCTTTCTGGACCAGAGCTTGAGATATTAGGTTTGTCTTTTTACACACTGTTTGTTTGCCTTATTTTATGCATTACAGTTGCACACAGAGCAGTGACATAGTGGATTGGTGCAAAAGTATTTTCCAGACCTTAGCTTAACCACTTCACTGCTGACCCTTTGCCTCATCTACTGCTAAGTTTGACAATGTGAGAATATACTTCCACTCCTATATACATCCTCATGTATTGGTGCTACTTAATTAAGCACAGCAAGAAATTTACCTTGTACCCTCTGATTATATGCATATGAATTCAGTTTTACAGTTTTGCCATCTTTACATTAACTCTGTTATTATGAATGCCTGAAATCATTTTGGCCCAATCTTCTATTCCTAAGCTACTGCTTCAAAGCATTGCTTCTTCAATAACTTAATACTCTAGCAGTAAATAGCAAATTTAGTATTTATGCTTATGACTGGTACTGTAGCCAGTGCTACTTGCAGTTTGTACCTAGAGCCAGGCTTATTTTATATCTTAGTTTCTGAATTTGTATATGAAACAGAACTCTTCTGCTTCTAAAGAATGCATTGTATACATAATTTTTTGCTGTATTGTTTTTGTTCAACATTTTATATGGATGCACTGTTTTTTTTATCTCCATTACTTCGTATGTGTATCAACCAATCAACTGTGGATGTGGTCATTGTCTTCATTCACTCGCTCAATTGGATGTGGGATCGTGTGGTAAGTTTCATTAGTTGATATGCTCTCTGTGTATTTTGTAATTAGAATGTTGTTTGTTTTGATGTAAATGTACTAATATATGTCCATTGTAGTGTATTGCTTGAGGCTGCTTGAAAGAGCCATAGAATCAGATGGATGACTGGGATGACCTTTCTTTCATAAGGATAGTCTTAGTTTTAGGTGTTGTGGGGCTTGATAACGTGATGTGTTGGGTTGCATTCTTAAAACCTGCCTGAATCTGGTACTGATGTTTACAGTTGTAATCTCAAACGTTATTTCATATGAAATGAAAAACTTTTGGTCATATTGGGCCTCCTATGTGGGTTAGAGGTAATACTGCTCACTTCTGTTCAGAAGGTGCCCAACTCAGATCTCAGCAGACAGTCCTAACTTAGCTATTTTATGGATTTCTTCTGTTTCTTTGGGCAAATGCTGGAATTTGTGCCTGAAATTAGGCCATGACTGCTTCATTCCACATCTGGTTTAGGAGAGGTCCATTGGCAGGCACATGGACACACTGATGAACCTCGGGTTTGCATGAAAGTTGTGGAAAGTCATGACTGCTTGAACAGCTGTTTTACTCTCAAGAATGATTGCATCATCTGGATAAACAAATTAAATATGGTGGTCTTTTCACTGTTAATAATTTGACATTGAAAATTAAATCCAGCCATGATGTATTATGCGTTCACATAGCTGTATCTTTGATGAATGTTTTCATGCTCCCAGCCCTGCATTACAGCATAGATTCTAGGATCTAGCATGTCATGAGAAAATAATAACAAAGTTACTAGTATGACTTGTAGTTGTGATGTTAACATAAGTATATAGTTTAGTGTTGTAGTTTTTAGAAAATAATTTAATGTGGTTTATCTTATAGTGGTTTTGTATGAAATTAAATTGTTTAACATGACTTCCAGTAAGACAAATCAATAATTTTACATAGGCTTTGCCCTCCTACCATATATATTTCTGCAACTGATTTTTCTTTTAGTGTGAATACTTTAGACATCTTGAAATGTCTTTCATACTAATGATATTGGGCTTGATGAACTGGAAGTTTTATTCTGTAATTGTTTATAATTGTAAACTTATTTCATATAGTCTGAATTCACATTGTACATTCATTTTTCAGAATGCAAGTTTTATAAAATGTTTACTGTCTTATTCTGAAGTAGTTTGGGAAATAGTTTACAGCAATCCATTGAGAAGCACAGTTTTACTAAACATGGATTTTAGATATTTGCATTTTTCCTTTTTTGTCCAGATTCTGCAGCTATCAGAATTGGTTTTGTGTGTCCACTTTGGGGAGGTGGCATACACAAGAGAAAAATATTGTGGACAAGGCTGTAAAGTCATTCAAAACTAGTTTTTTTATTTCCATTTCGCAGTAGCAATTTGTCCTTCTGTAACATATTAATGTTTTATATCCTATGTGTCTACAGCTTTGTGGGACAATGGTTAATTGTCTTTTAGACTCATTTAGATATATTAGACTTTCATGATGTGAGTGATACCAGCAGCATTGGTCCTTTGACACCCAATATCCTGTGAAGCATTGATCTTGTCAACTACCATTATCACAACTCCTGTGCTTCTCAGGGATGTAAGCCCCACAGTTTTTGAGGGTTTCTGTATTTCACCTTGTTGCCCTATTTACAACTTGTATGTTGGTACTGATGTAGATGTGTTTAAAGTGGTAATATTTTAGCAGATTTTCATTTTATGATGTTTATGTTTTGTTACTCTTGGGCATGTTAGTATTTTGTGTTTACAATATTGGTTATTATTTATATACAGTTAGAATGACAATTCCCAAAATTTATATATATATATATGGTGCAATCATTGCAGCAAGAGTTGGGTGCAGATAATCCTGGTCTTGGGTTGTGGTAACTGATCATACTTGCATTAGGTGTGGTGTTTTGTTAAAATGTGACTAATTTTGAATAGTGCATGGTGATTTGCTAGAGTATGGGGGACAGTTTTCTGCTGAAGATTATCATTATGTGTAGCCATCATTATTATTCAACATGTTCTTATGTGCAATATTATTTTTGGCAGTGCAGAATTACTTTTCATGCTTTGTATTGTTCCTGTATATAGTTAATTTATATAACATTAACTTTGTGAGAAGAAGGGAAAATATTGACATGGTAATTAATACACATGCATGTGTATGGAAATGTTAGCATGTGGAGGAAACTGTAATAAAATAGTAAACGTATTAATTGTAAAGGAAGTTTTGTACATAGCAGAAAGTAACCGAGTGAAGGTAAATCAATGTTTCCATATTTACTAGAACTGTCATTTAGTTAATTCATGTTATGTGGGTCTCTTGTCACCACGGCATGGCGCATCCTCAGATTGCGGATGGAGAAAATGCCCTCCATTTATATGAGGGAGGCTGTGATTATATTGAATAAGCAGTCGTGGACAGCCAACATGGGGTGGTCTTCCAGCTTGGGGGTTCGGCATAGGGCTAACAACTCCTCACCCTCCAGAATAAGCTTGTTATGAAAACGTTAAAGAAGCCTCAGACCTGGACGGATTCGATGGATAAACGACTTAAGTGAAAGCAAATGTATATGAGATTTGTGGAAGAAATCTGAAAATATAAATTAGATTTAGTGGGAGTACAGGTCAGATGGCACAGAGGTGGCACTGAACCAGCATGCAAATACAAGTATACATTTTTCTATTGAAAGGGAAATGAGAACCGTGAATTACGTGCAGGTTTTTTGAACACAAGAGAATCGTATCAGCAGTTAAGAGGGTGGAGTTTGTTAGTAATAGGATGTCATACATAATATTTAGTGAGTGATGTATATGTGTTTAATACAGTGGTGTCTTGTATGTTTATGTCCAATGAAGCATTGTCTAAATAATGTTTAAAAATTCATTTCTTTCCTCACAGGAAACATATAAAGATGAACTGTTTAATGCTGTGTAAGGAAATAATCATTGTTTATTGCAAGAATAATAAGGAACCCATAAAGGCACTGTGTGGGTAAAATACAGAGATTTTTAATGTTAAGAAGATGGTTCATATAGTAGGCACCGAAGACTTAAAACAGCAGGACATTTTTACTTACAGGCCATTCATTTATGTTGTGTAAGCATAGTGTACGGGTCTGGTCAAGTGGAATTTGTGGTGGACAAAGTGGCGTTGGGGCAGGTTTTCTCCGAGTACTCGGTTTCCCCTGCCAATCTTCATTCCACCAATTGCTCCACAATCACCCTCACCTATCATCTGGGACTGGTACAATAAGCCAGAAGTGGCCACAGTACAAGGGACTTAGTCCAACTCCACTAGCAATAATAATAAAAAAAAAAGCATTGTGTAATTACAATTGACGATGAGTAATTCAGTATTGCAAACTGCACTTTAAGTCTGTGCAATGAAGATACAGCAGAATTTATAATGCCTTGTGATTACTTATAGGTGCAGCCGCCAATCTACGGAAAGAAGTAATCCGAAACAAGATCCGTGCCATTGGCAAGATGGCTCGTGTCTTCTCTGTACTTAGGTATGTCTTGAAACACAGTTTAAGTGATATGTCCTCTATTAGTGTATGTAAGCTGCTTGCTGTGTATCTAAATCAGTACAAACAAGAGAGAAAAAAATGATCTCCAATGAATTATGCACGTTTCCTGAAGCCATTCTTTGTTACTACACAGAAGTATTTTTTTCTTGTATTTTGTTAAAAGTTTCGGATACGAGCTGTAGACCCTAATGAGGCCTGTATTTTTTGTGTGTATTGATTTCGTTACAGTGAATTGTTTTTGAGAATTTTGATAAAGTATGGGCTACAATTGCCGATCACGGTGGCCACACGGTCTAAGGCATGAAATGTCTTCGCACACTCGAACACAGGGATCATGGGTTCGAATCCCACTCAAGGCGTGGAGGGTTGTCTGCGTTTATTTTGTGTATGAGTTGTCCTGTGTAGGTAGCGGCCTTGCATCGGGCTGAACCCCTATCCAAGGAGTTTTCCCCGACTGTCTAAGATTAAGAAAATGAAGTGAATTGAAGGGTTTAATGGATGCCCTATGCTCCAAGTGAGAGCAACAGGAATACAGGAATAGATAGATACATAAGTAGCTAGATAGAGAGACAGACTCATGGGCTACAGGTGACCGGTAGATATTGAAATTAAATTGGCTTCGATTATTTTAATGTAGATCCCCAGTACTAAATTTTGTCAAAATCTGTTTGATACATGCCGATAGATGTATTTCTTCCGTTCACTTCTTGCAAAGAATGAATGGAAATGTGATTTTGGAATGATAGAACTTGAATGTTATGTTTTTCTTACCACATTTGTTTTACAGATTTCACTTTTATACATCTTTACCACTTTGAAAGTTTCTTTTTCTCCCTTCTTGTTTTGAGTGAATTGCTGGTGCTGTTATTGTTATTGTCAAAATTGAAATAGACTTAAAATTAGCTTGATGAGGTCTCAGTTAGGCTACATGCTGAATGACCGGTGTTCAGTAACTGACAGAGGTGGTGGTCTTCTCTTCACCCACTCATCCACTCTGGCACCCACCCATCATCCTATTCAGTGGATACCAGGGATTCTTTCACTGGAAGTAAAGTATCCAGTGTGTGAAAATAACCACTCACCCAAATCTGATACATGAGTGCATGGTAATAAAAGTCCACTTCCCCATATGTCTTCATTGTATGGTGCTTAATTAACCCTTTGCAAAAGCACGTTAGATCATCAGTGTTGAAACTGCCAGAGCTGAAGAGATTGGTTCATTGTTAATTACGTAGTGTATCATTTCCCTCGGTAGATGGCATTGAGTGAGTGAGTGAGTGTAGAGGAAAGAACAGGCTTTCAGGGTATACACGTATACAGAGTGTCCCAGGAGGAAATGACAATATTCTGGTAGTTCATAGGATTTCATGATTTCTTCTAAGGAAGAAATCATACGTGCCCTATTCCGATTGGTTTCCACAATGATGCTTTTTTACTCTACAGTGCACTGTACACTGTACAGACAAGCCACACACCATGTCCTCAAGCCAGTTGCAAAGTGCACTGATGTTGATGGTGGAAATTTCAAAAATGTGTTGTACTAGGTAAACTGTACCAACTTTGTCACATGAACAATAAATATGAGTATTAGAAAGAGTACATAATATAAAATGTGTGGCAATAAAGAAACCGGATTACTTTTATGACTCATTTCCGGCCACGTCATTGACGAAGAGGAGGGTAGGGCATTGACCCTTGGACTTCCCTCTACCGTCACACAAAGTTTCATTCACGTGCATCGGTTAGTCTGGCCGCGACCATTGTTAGAAGCGGATCGTGTTTCTGAGCTCCGTCGGAATAATGCTGAGTGCTAATGCAGAACAACGTGCTAACATCAAATTCCTCACAAAACTTGGAAAATCTGCCACTGAAACTTACAATTTGTTGACAGAAGTATATGGTGATCAGTGTCTATCTCGCACGCAAGTTTTCGAGTGGTTTAAGAAGTTTATGGAGGGTAGGAAAA